TCCCTCCTAGAATTAGGCTCAGAAAGTCTTGCTGTTGTAGGAGGGGAGGCTGCTGGCTATTTTGAGAAACTGCTACTGCAGAACTATATTGGATGCAGGTCTGAAGTTTCCAAAATGCCACTCTTACAGTCCTACAGCATGCATGCTCTTAAAGCACACAGCCCCCTCACTAGCATTCAGAGGTACCACCTACCCTGACAACATCTTCATTTATCTGTTTGGGGTCCCGGTTGATTAGGTCGATCTCCTTGGTGTTGCTGTCCTCCACCAGCTTCTCCTCCATGGCATTGTACTTCTCAACCATGGTATCACCAGAGACCTACTTCAGCTTGAGGAACAGAAGGAGCGGAGCACTACAGTGCAACACTAGGAGACTGGAGTCTGGACTTTCTTAATTGTCTGTTCCTAGACTGACGCCAGGATTAAAATACTATCCGACAGCTGCTGTAGCCTTCATTTCAGTCACACATGGGGTGGGGTCACATAAACAGCCAACCCACGTGGGCAATCAATCACACCAAAAGTTGAAAGGTATTTCTTAAAGGGCAATCCGGGCTTGAGTCCCCACCAATCGCACTATGGCTGGAATTATTAACACCACATGGACGATTTCTGCTTATAATTCCTGTCCAGACCAAACGAAACACTGGAAAATAATCTTTCATTTGAGTGAAAAATAAGGCTTCTGGAGATAAAAGCCTTTACCTTTAAGTTTGCATATACAGTATCTCATCATGTATGAAATTGTTCTAGTAGCAATAATTTAATAGTGTGTGTGAAAAGGATTAGTCTCTGTGGATTAAAACTCCTCACCTGACAGTCTCCATAACCAATATAACTCAACTCCTCTGCTTTTACTAGGCACACACTGTACACCACACATACAGATGTTTGCATATTTGCCATGATTTTTCAGTGGTGAGTGGAAGAAGTCAGAGGAAGCAAAGATAATTGCTGATCAAGGGATATTTAGTTGTAAAGCTTTACGTTGAGAAAGTACTCAAATATATATTTTTAGAGATTCAAAAAAGATTTCACAAAAAATATTATGGAAAGATTTAGAACTTTGTATACATTTTTAAAACCAAACAAAATACTGAGAGTCACGGTGGCAATAGCTTGAGGAAGAAACTATCCACTGATGAACCTTATCACTTAACACTTCATCCTGTCAGCTTCCCGCTACCCAATAAAATCTGATCCATGGCCAGAAATAAACTTTATATTTACCTCCTGTTTCATAATTATGGTTCAGCTCACTTTATGGGCAATTTAAATTTGTTTATTTATATTCTCAGTTAAGCAACTAAAACGTTTTAAAATTCCATATACAAAAAAACATTGTTTTATTGTTACTTAAATAATTCCTTTTAATTAATCCCTTGATAATACAGTAGATAATTAATTGACAAGTCCAGGCATCACCCGTGCTCCCCAGTACAATGAAGCTCTGTAAACAAACTGCTCTAATGAGGAAGGATGAAGCCGTTCTCCAAAACACCTCAGAAAGCCACCTTAACCGTAAACTCCCATAGCAGGTAAAAAGACAGCACTCACTTTAGTAGTAGGTGTTGGTGAACAGTGGCTTGTGGTACCATAGCGATTATGCACCATTCCTTGTTGACATAAATGCACAACCCCCCGTGACTCTTACTGGATTCTGATGTTTCTTTGATCATGTGGAAGGTGCTCAGACCATGTATCTGAATGGCAGGCTATGTTTTTGTAAAAATAAAAATGTAGCAATTCCTCATCTACTTCTAGTCCGTTGAACTGCACTGCATTCCAGCAACCTCCACAGGAGAGAGTACACATAGTCCCCCCTCTGTACTGTACATCTGACTGTGCCTCTAATTCAATCAAGTCTCTTCAGTAGCATTTTTCTGAATTAGATTTGGTGAACTTTATTGATCCCAGTAGGAAATTCTTGTGCATACAGCATGTAGAAACCAGACGAACATACATGGATCAGTACTTCCATGTTGTTTATGACAAATTTAGACCTGAATGTTGCAGCAAAAATTGAGACTCATCTGACCAGGCAAATGGTTTTCCAGTCTTCCATTGTCCAATTTTGGTGACCATTGCCCACTGTAGTTTTGACAGAAGTAGCACCTGGTGTGGTCTTCTGCTGCTGTAACCCATCGGCTTCGATGTGTTGCGTGTTCAGAGATTAATTCCTGTGTACCTTGGTTGAAAGGAGTGTTTATTTGAGTTATTGTTTGCCGGTACTTTCCCAAAGTACCAAAAGTACAGTACCTGGTTATCTGTCTGGTATCTGATTGGACTGGGTGGACAACACAGCATCGCTGTACAAGAAATGCCAGAGCAGACTCTACTTTCTGAGGAGGCTGATGTCTTTTGACTGGAGATACCAAATGCATGAAAAAGCTCATCAGGAAGGCCAGCTCCATCACACCCTGGACCCACTGGAAGCAGTACTGGATATGAGGATGTTGGTTAAATTGGGCAACATTATGAACAAGTCTGCCCATCCCCTCCAGGGAGTGCTATTTTGGGGCACCTTTAGCCTGCAGCTCACCCCACCACAGTGTACTAATAAGCACTATTGGGGTTATTTCTGCTTGCTGCCAATAGGTACTACAGCACCTCCTCCTGACGTATCACCCCTGAGGGAGTGCTCATTGCATTAATAAATCATGACGCATCTTTTATCTCAAGTAGCTATAATATTTGTTCATGATTTGTGCTTCAGGAGTTACTACTAGATATTTGTGCCCTCTCAAGTAAAGTATTACCAAATCATTACTACCGAACGTGTCCAAAGCAAATATAAATAAATAAAAATGAAGGTGTAACTAGCTAATCACATTTGCTAGATCATTAAATCCATTATTCTATTGCAATATATAGATGGCATGGTTAGAGCAAGTATATCCTGTCTAATATTATTATCCTATTATATCACGATATATTTCTTAATTTTGGTCGATACGATATAATTCCGATATCGATATGGACAATATTAAAAACTCTCAGACTCAGCTTATTAACAATAATATATTTCCATTTAAACTAAAACAGGCTGATTATTCATATACTGTATATTATATGATACAGTATATATGTATATCGAAATATCGGAAATGTGTTTAAAAATCGTATCACCGTTATTGAAAAAAATTATATCGCGATATTTATTGATATCGAATTATTGTCCAGCCCTAGCATATATACACTTCCAGTAATTCTTTAATTTGCCATTCACTGCAGTTAGCACATCTAATGTTAATGATAAATTACATTGCATGGTGACAGACTAGCTACCTGTGTCACCTACTTGACACATGAAGCTAAATGTTGCTTTTGATTAAACATATCTTTTACTGCTTATATCATTCCATGTGTCAAAATGGGTCTGGTTGCTTGCATTAGGAACATTCCAGAAAGAGTGTGTTTTATACAACGTTTCAATAAATATATAGGAAATTTTCACGCTACTGACATAGTAATTTCAATATGGTAGAACAATATGGTAATTTCAATATGGTAGAACAATTGTCTGTGGCAATATGCTATTTACATGACATTCAGTCTCATGTTTGTGAGTTTTTTGAGAGTATTGTCTTTTTTTGATTGACATGCATTAAATTAAGAGATGCTGACTAAACCTCTTACTCAATTTCATGAGCTGTTTAAGGTGAGAGGTTGTTTTAAAGTGCATTTTTGGGCAGATTATTATAGTTATTAACAGCAGAGCATGTTTGTCGTCAGAAAGATAGGTGAACACTTTGAAGATGAACACAGCAAAGCTTTCCCAGGTGAGCAAGGACTCCTTATGGTATAATCATTCTGTAGTAATGTCATCTAGATATATATAAATAAGATATACTGTATATATAAATAAGGCAAGTAATATATCATTATAGTAATGGCACATGCATTCAGCTTTACAGTACTCCATACTTCTTGTACGTGTGATTTGTTTGTACGACCCCTGCAGATTGTAAAATGACATTAGTCTAAGTGCAGAATAGTGTTTTGCTAAATGTTGCAAAGTAAGAATACAGCAAAAGCAAGGCAATGTGATGGAATGAACATCGAAATGTGGTAATTATAAATCAGACATTTCAGTTTACTTAATGATATTTGCTTTAGCTGGCAGGAATGCTCCTTTGAACCATATGCCAATAAAAGGAAAGAAGAAGAAGAAAGTCAACTAATCAAGAACCAATAGCTGGGGCTATAAAAAGGACTGGGTTATCCATGAGTGGGGCTATCCATAGGCTGGGTTATCCATGGGTGGGGCTATCCATGGACTGGGTTAACCATGAGTGGGGCTATCCATAGGCTGGGCTATCCATGGGTGGGGCTATCCATGGGCGGGGCTATCCATGAGTGGGTCTATCCATAGGCTGGGCTATCCATGGATGGGGCTATCCATAGGCTGGGCTATCCATCTGTATGCAGTTTTCAGGGCTATCCATAGGCTGGGCTATCCATCTGTATGCAGTTTTCATGCTGGATTCCTCTGGGTACTCACAGTGTCTATCCCACAGACCAGAGACCTGCAGTTAGGGGAGGTGTACAGTATGTGTGTGTGTGTATCTATATCTGTATCTGTATCTGTGCTTGTCTATGTGTGCTCTCCCCAGGTTGGTGGTGGTTCAATTCAGTCCAGCACAGAACAAAGAGCAATGGGTGTCTTATTAATCCTAACTATTTTCAAAATTATTTTATAATTAGGAGAATAACAATGCACACATTTATTTGTGACATATTACTTCTTTATTTACTGATTTGTCACTCATTCATCCATTTTTTATAATAAAATAAGCCAAACACAATAAATAAATGTACCATTGTGTAAATGCTTTTAATGTTGTGTATGACATTTCTTTTTCTATTTTATATTGTATCTATATTGTGGTAAAAACATTTAAGCTTTATCTTAAACATTTAAGATAAAATGAGGGGGAAATACATAGAAACTGTTTAAAATTAATGTGTAATAAATTACATTGCAACCCTGACCCGGAGAAGTGGTATTTAAGATGAATATAATAAATTATACATAGTAAAAGTAATATGCAAGTTAGGTTTTGAAACATAAAAGTTTCACAAGGCAAATGCTTTCAGAAAATACATAATTTCCCTCAAAACTCTTCAGACCTTTATTATAAAGTAGTAAAATATAATTTTTAATAACAATAATGATGTCTGTGTAATAAATTGTTTTAAAATTATTACTAGTACTGTTAAACTTAAAGCATGCTTAGATATAAGTTTTTAAGACTGAGTTTTTATTTGACACCCCAAATATACAAAATAATATTATATATCTATACCTTTGGAAAATATCTGAGGGGTGGTTTTCAGGATGAAATATTTATTTGCATATCTGGGTCATTTGATTAATCCATAACAGTACCAGATGTCAATTTTTATATTCAGAAAAAGGAGAATAATTAACTTGATTCAAAATAACTTTTCAAATTTCCCAAGTCAGGTCCGTCAGTCTTCAGATCAGATTGCATGACTCAGGTGAACTCTGAATGAGATGAACAGTCCCATTGATTTTCCGATATCATGAAATAATCGATTCATTTTCACAGCTACCAAACACAGAGGCAGTCAGAGCTGGACACGCACAGGCAGTTATATGGATCATGCGGGGTAGTTCAACTGTGGAATGTAACACTTAAGCCTTGATCCAGTATTAATGAATAATGTATTGCAATTACAAATTTCAAATACAGTATGTCCATAAGTGGATGACAAGCCAAAATGTGAGCAATGCAATCCAAAAGAGCTGCATTTCTAATCAAAGTCTTCTGGGATCTGTCCAGGGATTCGGACTTCCTGGTGCACAATATTCCTGGGGCTGGAGTTCACGCAGATGGAGCGCGCATCTGTGGTGGTCCGTTGGAGGAACTGCAGGAAGTTTTCCTGGGCTGAGCCCTCGTGACTGGAGCCCCCCAGGTCTGCAGGGCGTGTGGCATAGCACCTGCGCAGCTTACCGAGCTCCTCGCGGATCTGCCGGTTGAGGAGGCCGTAGAAGAAGGGGTTCATAGCAAAGGAAGAGTATGCCAGCCAGGTGACTGCCTCTTCCAGGTCCTCTGGACTCTTCAGCGATGTGTTGAGTGACAGGTGCAGGTGGAAAGAGAAATAAGGCAGCCAGCAGACAACAAACTGTCCCACAATGAGCACAAGGGTGAGAGCTGCCTTACTGCCCCCAAATATCCGCTCTGGGGTCAGTCTCGGCGCTAGGGTCCGAGCAGCTATGATAGTGGTCTGGCTGTTGATGGAGTCTGAGCGCTGCTTCGGGTTTGTGGCCCAGGAAGGCATGGGCACATGCTGAAGGGCAGCCAACCTCGCCACCTTATACACATTGCAGTACACAGCAACGATCACAATGGATGGTACCAGGAAACACAACACACTGAAGATGATGGCAAAGACCTTCCTAAGATTGCTGTGGCTCCAGTGGAGGGAGCAGTGGGCGGCACTGATGGAGCTCTGGTTTCCATATGCTGGCCAGCCAAACAAAGTGATCAGGGCCAATAAAATAGACTTGATCCATATGAAAATCATCACAGCGATGGCAAGGTTGAGTGTCATTTTCACCTCATACCTCATGGGGTGTATTATGTAGTAATACCTCTCGATGCTGATGGCGGTGATGGTGAGGATGGAGGCACAGATCAGAAACACATTGAGAAAGATGTAGACCTGACACTCCAGTACGGTGAAGACCACGGAGCTGAAGAAGGGGGAGCCGGAAACGATGCCCAGGGGCATCAGCAGCACAGCGCACAGGATGTCTACAACGCACAGGTGACAGACAAAGGCAAACTTCCGCAAATGAGGCGCTTTGACGATGGCTACCATCACGGCCACGTTGGCCACAAGAGCCACAGCGTTCAGGGTCACCATGAACGATATCCCAAGCAGGTCTTTGAGGTGGGACTGCGCACTGGGAAAAACTCCGAGCTGCACGCTGGGAGCTGTGGGGTGGCCATGCAGCCCGGGGCTGTTCACTGCTGAACGGTTGGCTGCCGGACTCAACACTGGACCCAACTTTTCCATGGCTCAGGGTAGATACTTTGAAACTATAATTCAGGAATTTCCCATGCTTCTGAGTTCTTTCTTTGGAAGGTTAACCCAATTGTCAAGAATACCACTGTGGAAAAAGTAAGGGAAGAGATAGAAATGACAAAACTATCAAAATGGTTAACTCTTGCCCAGGAAATTCAAGAAGCCATATTCACCATTCATTCTAAAGCAGTGTGGCAAGAAAATGCGATTAGGTCTGTAATGGGTATAACCAATGCACAGCAGGGTTGATTGAGTTAGTGGGGCACGCCACATGCTGCTGTTTTGGTAATATGGAAGAGATAAGCACACCCTCAGAAGGAGCTTCAAGTGTTGGTGAAGAACGCGACGGCTCAGCAGCCACAACATCTTTTGAAAAAGGAGATAATAAGGACGAACAAGGTACAGCAATGTTGGTGATGTGGCAGTACTTTTTGCAGATTAACACACAACACACTGGTCCTGTGTACTGTAAACTCTGTCGAAAACTTGGGGCAGGTAAACTGTAGATAAAGCAAACTTATTTCCCCACTTGAAGCATTGCCAACCGGTAGAACAAACAGAATGCAAGTGCTTACACTCACAAACACCAGCAATTGGGCTTTCCATTTTCAAATGAAATAAATATGAACATAAGAACATAAGAAATTTACAAACGAGAGGGGGCCTTTCGGCCCATCAAGCTCGTTTGGGGAGAACTTAACTAAT